TTCAAAATCTTATATGATTCATGTATATACATTTGCTATTAAATTTAGTTAAATATATAAGTAAAATTCATTCATATAAAATTAATTTAAAACTCTTGTTGCACATCCTTTCATGTTTTAAATTTTCATATTACATATATTTTTAAATGTTTTTAATCAACAATATGATTCAAGAGAAAATATTAAGGATTTTATTATTTTTTTAAATTTTTTTGTATAAAAAGTCATTTTATTTTAATGTTCATGGCTAACGAGCCAGCCTGACTCATTAGTGGGTGGGCCTGACTATAAAGTTATAAATAGAATCTAGGTTCAAGCCCGACCCGAACCCACTTTGACTAGTCAAAACCGGAATAAGCTTAACCCACGCCAAACTCGACACAACTAATGTAGACCCTGGCCCACGCATTTTTACAAAGATCCACCTCAACCCTTAAGTGTAGGTGCTCCTCCATTCACGGGCTGCTCAACTCACAGATTGCTCCCATTCCACCATCAACGGAGCACACATCTCTCCCTTTGCTTCTCCACCTGAAGGAGCAGTCTTTGTCCACCATTCGCTGCTCCTCTACTCGACGAAGCGGCCTTGGTTTCCATCTAAGCTACTTATATAGACAGACAAGCTTCGAACTTAAAGACCTCGCGTCAAAGATAAGTGAATCTTCGAAGAAGAAACAACATATATTTCTTACCAACCCATGGCCTCCCGCGAAAAGGAGGAAGCGAAGTTACCTTCCTCAAAGATTTTGGGTAGGAGAGGAGCGGAAGGAGGAGAGAAATGGGAGTTTATGATCACCGTAAGTCGTGATGTCATCGTTGCGCTCCCAGCTAGCTCCCATTTTGGTTGTATTGCGAGGGTTCGATCACAAGGAGATAGTTTTGGACAAAATAGAGAGAGATTGAGGAAAATGTGAGGCCTCTGGGGAGAGGGAGGAGTGAAGGCTTAATTTAATTTAATTTTATTTAAGTTAATTTTATTAATTTATTTGATTAATAATTAATAACTAATTAAAGTATAATCAAATTAATTATAATTAAATAAATATATTTATGTTATTTTTCTTCTTTATTAGTTTACTTTATTTTGTTGGGATCCCATCATAGCATTATTATAGTATTTTATTTGCATGTCAAGCTTTTTTTTTTTTTTTTTTTTTTAATAAAATAGCATAGATATTATATTATATGTGGAATAGTTATATTCCACACGTGTTTGCTAGTTGCTACTAAATAGCCTCATAGCGTGCAAGTGAGGTGGAGTGAAACTAAGGGTATTTATGTAAATGCCCCCCTTTTTTTTTATATGTTCTTTAATTATGTTGTTGTTTATATTTATTTATAGCATTTTAAGCCTAAGGATTGTGTGGCATACATATGTTTTTTTATGAATTATACAAGGAAAATTTCTATGATTAAATATTTTGGAGAAGTTTTTTTTCAATTATGTGTTATACATAATTATGTGCAATCCTTGCAACACAAATTAAGATTTGTGCATTGTTATGTTTAGTCCTTTTGGTAGATTCATTCAATTTTGAGTTTAAGTATAGATTTATGTAGGCATTTAAATTGAACTCATGAATTGCTCTTTACATATATACTTTGCATCTATGATTGTTGTGTTATAGAATTTTTAAATTAATATAATGTACTGAAGTGTTTCCTTCTTTTGTTTATAACATTTGGTTTGTGATTTTTTTTTTCAGTGTGCAAATGAGAAGTGACAGTCTATTCTGAAAATGGATAACAGAGAGGGCAAAAAACATGATGGTCCATTGATGTCGAGCATGAAATATAGATTCTTTCAATAGTTTTTAATTCAGTTTTTGAATGTCATAAAATTAAGAATATTGTTTGTTATAGGGAATGTCACGAAAAATATTGCATTATATGAAACTGTATATGAATGGCTTGATGATACAAAATTTTCACAACTCGTTGATGGTTTGAGCGAAATGAATGACATTGAACCAGGAAATGTTGAAGACAAGAATAACCATATAGATGTTGATGAGATGAATAATTCTTATGATGATGAAGACTGTGAGTATATTGTTTCAGATGATTGTGAAGAGTTTATACATAGTGATTATGACATACATGAAGATGATGAGTTATTTGAAAGCAATGTTGATCATTATGTTGAATTCACTGGTATAAAAGATAAAAGTAAGAAGGAGATTAAAGATTGCATTGAAATTTCTAATGAAATGTTGAAAAAAAAATTTTAGGTTAGTGACTGTATGAATTCCAATGATGAAGTCATTGTTCATAACAATGAAGCAGATTATAGTATTAAGTGGCTAGTTTTCAATCCCATGACAGAATTTGGAAAATACGATCTTAAAGTTGGAATGTTATTTAGTAGTAAATATGAATTTAAAGAAGTTGTGCAAAATTATTTATTTGCTAGAGGAAAGACCATAAAGATCTCAACAAATGACAAAAAAAAGGTGTAAAGTTATTTGTAGGAAGCCTAATTATTCATTTTGTCTGTATATTTCAAAGCATAAGACAAACCTTTCATGGCATATAAGATTGTTCAAGAGCATAAATGTTTATGGAGTTATCATAATAAAACTTTAACCTCCACAATTATAACAAAGAAATTGGTGAATAAAGTAGGGATGAATCCTCAGTGCAAAGCTAAATTATTTAGAAGAGAAATAATAAATGAATTGAATTAACATGTTTCAAAATCACGGGCTAGGAAGGTTATCGGTATAGCATGCAAGTTGGTGCACATCAAGGAAGATGAACAACTCAAGAAGATATGGGATATGGATAACAGAGAGGGCAAAAAACATGATGGTCCATTGATGTCGAGCATGAAATATAGATTCTTTCAATAGTTTTTAATTCAGTTTTTGAATGTCATAAAATTAAGAATATTGTTTGTTATAGGGAATGTCACGAAAAATATTGCATTATATGAAACTGTATATGAATGGCTTGATGATACAAAATTTTCACAACTCGTTGATGGTTTGAGCGAAATGAATGACATTGAACCAGGAAATGTTGAAGACAAGAATAACCATATAGATGTTGATGAGATGAATAATTCTTATGATGATGAAGACTGTGAGTATATTGTTTCAGATGATTGTGAAGAGTTTATACATAGTGATTATGACATACATGAAGATGATGAGTTATTTGAAAGCAATGTTGATCATTATGTTGAATTCACTGGTATAAAAGATAAAAGTAAGAAGGAGATTAAAGATTGCATTGAAATTTCTAATGAAATGTTGAAAAAAAAATTTTAGGTTAGTGACTGTATGAATTCCAATGATGAAGTCATTGTTCATAACAATGAAGCAGATTATAGTATTAAGTGGCTAGTTTTCAATCCCATGACAGAATTTGGAAAATACGATCTTAAAGTTGGAATGTTATTTAGTAGTAAATATGAATTTAAAGAAGTTGTGCAAAATTATTTATTTGCTAGAGGAAAGACCATAAAGATCTCAACAAATGACAAAAAAAAGGTGTAAAGTTATTTGTAGGAAGCCTAATTATTCATTTTGTCTGTATATTTCAAAGCATAAGACAAACCTTTCATGGCATATAAGATTGTTCAAGAGCATAAATGTTTATGGAGTTATCATAATAAAACTTTAACCTCCACAATTATAACAAAGAAATTGGTGAATAAAGTAGGGATGAATCCTCAGTGCAAAGCTAAATTATTTAGAAGAGAAATAATAAATGAATTGAATTAACATGTTTCAAAATCACGGGCTAGGAAGGTTATCGGTATAGCATGCAAGTTGGTGCACATCAAGGAAGATGAACAACTCAAGAAGATATGGGATTATTGGTTAAAAATTAAAAAAAAAAAAAAAAAAAATCCATGAATAAATATAATTGTACAAACAACACAAGGCACAGATTTGGAGGGTCATCTGAGATTTGTCAAGATGTATGTCTACTTTGAAGCATGTAAAAAATGCTTCCTCGTAAGTTACAAACCAATAGTTGGGGTTG